GGTGGGTTTGGAACATCTCCAGAGATGGAGACTCCACACCCTCTCTGGGCAGCCTGTCCCAGGGCTCCAACACCCTCACAGTCAAGAAATTTTTCCTTAAGTTTGTGTGGAACTTCTGGTGTTCCAGTTTGTGCCCACTGTCCTGTCCTGGCCAAAAAGAGCCTGTCCCCATCCCCCAGATATTTATAGACATTGATATATTTCAGATATTTATAGACATTGATAATATCCCCAATGCTGAGGCTGCAGAGCAGGTGCAGGTTGGATTTGTGCTCTGCAGCTCATGGACATTTTCACTTGGCTTAAACATAAAGCAATTGGACCCAGAACAAGATCCAGGGCTCACCATCCAACTCGTTTGTATTTGTTTCCTCAAGCTAAACAAAGCCCAGCCCCCTGCCACATGCAAGAAATCACTGCAGATCAAAGCCCTTGGCAACAGAGGACACCACGAGATCGGGGGGGGACAAGTGTTTCAAGCTTTTTCCCCAGACACACACCCTCCGTGAAGCCTTGTAAAACCAACAGGCAGGGGGGTTGGAACTGGATGATCTTTGAGGTCCCTTCCAGCCCAAACCATTGTGTGATTTCTCCCACTGAACTGGTTTTCTGTTTTCATAGCTGTAAAAGATCTGCTCCCAGCTCCCTGAAGAGAGCAACAAAAACTGGCAGGAACTCCAGCTTGCCAACAATGCCCTTTTCTACCTCAGCTACCTGTTTGTATCTGATATTTACTGCAGTATCAGATGGGGAAGGAGGAAGAACTTCACTTTCCTTCCTTACCCTCTCAAGCTGCTTGAAAACAGCCCTGGGTTCAGCTCACCTAGTCCTGCTTCAACTCCCAGGACAGCCTCACTGTTGAGAAACAGAACTTACCAACAGGGCCCAGCGATGCTGCCTTGTTTGTGAACACAGAGCTGCAGGGCCAGGTTGCCAAGGAACAAGTCTTTTTCTCTTCTATTAGCCAGCACACTCAGCTGAGCAGCTGACTGCCTGTTTACAATCGCTTTCATAGGGTAAAGAATTCTAAAAAAAAAACCCAATTTACCACCCCTGGAAAAGGAGGGGATGGAAAACAGACAGACTGGACATTAGTCTCATTCCCAGAGAAATCCCAGGTGGTGTCTCACCAGGTTTCTGGGACCTTTGCAAGAAACACTTGAAGCATTTTTTGTTGGCTTCTGCTTTTCTCTCCTATCCCTGCTGTCTAACCTCTGAATTTGCTGGGAAACTGAAAGCCAGATCCCAATCCTGGAGATAACAAAATCCAGCTTCTGTGGAAACACCATTCCAGTTCCTCCCATGCCAACACCCCTCAGACAGATGGAGGCACATCTGAATTAATGTGTCAGAGCAGAAGCTTCGCTTCCACAACGCCCACATCACACCACTACCCACTGAATCCACATCCCAGAAGTCAATCTCACTTCAAGGAAAGTCAACTCATTCTGATCAAGTCCAACAAACCGGAAGCAGCATCCATAAATTACCCACATTTACAGGCTTTTTAAAAATACCCAAACAATCTCCTCTTTGTAAAGCAAATTCCAGTAATGCCACAAGATCTACAAGAAAAGATTGTGCCCAAAGAGCACAGAGAGCACCCAAGCAGCCAGAAGAGGCCTAAGAAGTGTTACTAATGGGCAAAGGTTAAAAATAATCCCCTCTCTAGAAAGCTGCAGAAGAGAAGCTCAGAAGCACATATTCAGTCCTCGGGTTCCTTTCCTCTGAGATCTCCTTCAGTGACTGTCACAGACACCACCCGCTGTCCAACATCACACGCTGCTGCTCTGGGCATCGCAAAGTGGAGGATGACAACAGTCAAATGAGTTGTGCAAGAGGTAACTTACCTTTTTATAGGTTGTCTCACCCGTGGAGTCCACTCCTCTGTGCCCTTTCTTTATCGTCTGTGAGCCTGGCTGCCCAGAAGAACCTGGCATCTAGGATTGGAGTAAAAGCTGGTAAGAACCAAGGATGGAAAATTCCATCTCTCAGAGGCTGGTGGCTGCTCAGAACCACTCAGCATCATTTTGCTATTCTCAGAGATGGAGTTTGGGAAGTGCTAAAGCCCCAGGTCCCTGCAAGGGTGTGAAGGGAAGACACGGTACAGGCTGGCCTCCAGGACAGCAACAGCATTGAAATGCTTTCAACAGCCTTCAAAGAACTCTGTGTGATGGAGGCTGGACATCTAACTGGAGGGAAACACCTTCATGCAAGACCACCAGGAAGGGTTTGCTTTTTTTTTTCTAATCACCCTCATCACAAACAGATCAGCTCTAAGCAAGTTTGGGCCAACCACAGCTGGTCACCATCCTTTCTGCCAGTAAAGCCAAGTCTTTGAGAAAACATTTTAGGAAGCTGGCAAACTCTGCTGTGATTCACGCCGCAAGAGCTCGCTTGACTCATCGTCTTCTGTCTCACACACATGGTTGTTAAATGGTGTTGCTCAGTCAAAACGAGTCCAACGTCTTGCTCACAGCAGCAGCAGATCTACATGGTGTTTTGGTGGCATGAGAATTGCTCAGTTTTGGGACAAGCTGGGCTTTTTAGCAGAGATTCCCTTGGTAAAAATGCTCTGATTTGCCAAACGAGCACCTGCAGCTTCCTGCACTCACCACTGCCTGCTTCACCCCCAACTTGAACCAGACTGAAAAAAAAACCAGCAGACAAATCTGAATTCGGGCATTCTCTTAGCCAGGGAACAAACCATCTTGTCAATCAGAAACTTACCTCAGGGGTGAGAGATTTTTTGAAAGTAGATGATCCTGTCAAAATAAAAAAAACACACTCAGAAAGGGTTAATTGTTATTATGCATCACAAACCAGCCTGACGCAGCCGCATCGAAGAAGGCATCTGAAAAAGCACTGACTCACAGCTGATTTCTTCCCAGTTTCTCTCACAGCAGAGTAAATTCTTGTCAAGCCTCAAGGAAATGCTGTTCTGCTTCCCCCTCACCAGCCAAACCCAGCTTAGAGCCGGTGCCACCAGCCGGGGTCTGCTCTGCCCCACTCAGCTGGTCACAAACACACCCCACCAACTCCTGAGGTGGCATCAGCGACTCCCCTGCCCTCAGTGGAGCTACACTGGAGCTTCGCAGGATTATTGCCATCTGTTAATTAGAACTGGGAGGCCCAAGTGCTCTGCTGGGTTCCAGTAGATGCACTGACCACAGTTTATCTGGAAATTATTTCCAGGACCTTTTTAATAAAGGCCCAGAACATCAACCCTTCAGCTTTAACCTGAACCCAGGGGTTTTCCTGACTCCTGTGCTGTTAAATACCCACGAGGTGATGTACTAACTTTGATCTTTTAGGCCTGGACACCCACCTTGGCTTTTTTATGGATGCAGTAAGGAGAAAAAAAAAAGCCATGAGATGCCACCACAAACCCAGCAGCCAGGCCGAGATACCGACACTGGTGAGGCCAAGAGCTCCCTGGACAGTCCCGCTGCCCTCCCCAGCCCATGTATAAAACATGATATATATATATATATATGTGTGTGTATCACATAAACCAGGGATGTGCTTTCTGCCTCCAGCCCAGAAAAGCAGACAAATAAACTCTTTCATTTTGTTTTTCTTTCTGTTTCAGACACAGTAACTCATTTTTTTAATTTTTTTTTTTTCCATGTGGGAGCCATGACCAGAGCCTGATAAAACCTCTCCCACCCAAAAGCAACACCCCCATCATAGCACAGACTGCACAGGGCTGCTTCCCCCCCCCCCCCGACACCCAGGAATTGTTTTAACAGATTTAAGCATTACAACATCTAATCCTTGAAGCAGCAGCTCCGGGTCCACCCACCGCTCAGCTCAGCAGAGCAGCCCCTTCCTGCTCGCCTGTTCGGGGCGGTGGAAAGACTCACGCTGTGATTTCATCGAGCACCAGAGCTCTATAAAAACCTGCATTTCAGCTAAAGGAACTCAGGTACCTCACAGCAGAACCCAGCAGCCTTCTGATCCCCTTATCGAGCGATCAAAGTTCTCATTTCAATACATATTAAACAAGCAAAGAAGAGAGAAAAAGAAATAAATCTGTGACAAACACGTTTTTGCTAAACAAAGCGAGCGCAGGACGACTGACTCCGTGGCTCCAGCTGCCTTCCCACCCCCTCTCAGCCCTTCATAAAGACAAGAAAGTTTGTCCCAACAAGCAGCTTTGGTGTTTGAAGTTTCTCACAGTCGGCTCTTCTCCTCCTCTTCCTCCTCCCCACAGAGCCTTGGGGTTCCTTGGAGTCAGCTGCCCTGCGTCACCTCTCAGAGAATCATTTAGATTGAAAAGAACTTTAAGATCATCAAGTCCAAAGGCAAAAAAACCCAACCCTGCCAAGTCCCACTAAACCGTGTCCCTATGGGCTGAATCTACAACAGAATCATTCAGGTTGGAAAAGACCTTTTAAGAAAAGACCCTCTCACATCCCTTCCCAAACCTGGGTCGGGAGCAAGGGGAAGAGGGAGCATCTCCAGCTGGAAGGAAGCTTCTGGGACTTAGTGTCAATGAAAGCAGGAAACCTCAACTCCATCACCTTATCCCAAGGCTTTTGAACTTGTCAAAATTCATCAGGACACAGGGACAGAGGAAACATCCCGGGGATCACAACGTAACTCCTGCTCAGCAGCAATTAAACCTTTTTTTTTTAAGCAAGTGTCTGTAATTATGTAAATGAAAACCTCTAACAGCCCGGTGATTTAAACAATCCTGAAGCAGCACTGCCAGCCTCATCACCTTGGAGATTTCACTGTGTTATTATTTAATCATCTGTGCAAAACCGTATTCCAGCAGGATTTAGCTGAAGCTCTCTCACCAGAGAACCCAGCAGCAAATCTTCTCTCTCTCTCTGCTGCTTTAATCACACGCAACAAACGTTAAAAGCCAGAACGTACAACGAGTCTTTGGTTGGAAGAGGCAGGAACCCAAAGCACGTGGGACACCGTGGGACAGCTTTATCTTAGAGGTGTCCCCATGATTTTGAGGAGGACACACAGCATCTCAGCACAGACCAAAAGCATCAGCTTCTATTTCTCCTCTTCCAAGACTGTGGTGTCTGGGTTCACCCTTTCCCGTAGTGACAACGATGATCCTCCCAATCCGGGCGGTTACAAGAAAGGGTGAGTCAACAAGGGAAAGCCACAGACCGCGCTCAGAGCATGGCTCCGGTCCCAGCACACCCAGTTTCCGTGGCAGGAAGCTTCCCCCTCCCTCCTGTCAGTTTCCAAACAAGTTTGCTACTGATTGGGAAATAGGTAATTCCTGTCTGACCACGATAAAAGACGCTCATTCGCATCTGAGTGCGAGGATGAACAGGAGGCTGACGAGGTCTTTGTGGCTCTGAGGAAGGGCTGATGCTACGGACGGGTTTATCACGGGTCCTCCTGCAAAAACAAACTCTCTTGATGACCCACAGTGTCACCAGCTGAGGTCAGGGAACAGAACTCAGAGGTTTCCATCCGAATCCATTTCAGTTTTCTCCATCACTTCTTTTTATCGCTATAGAAAGGCAGTTCTGTGTCATCCCCCCCCACACACACACACACTCTGCTTGGAGAAGTACAGGTGTGAAATTCAATGGCATAAATGTAACAAAATGAAATAATTTCCCAAAAAAAGCTGCTGTTTCTGGATCTGTTTAAATAACTCTACAATGGAACAACTCATCAGTCACGGTTCTGACCCAGATTGACAACGGAAAAAATGGCTTGAGAGACTTAACCGGTTAAATCTGGTCAAAGGAAACAGACCAGGGTTAAAAAGTCCTGTCCAAAAAAATCAATTCATCATGTCCCAAAAAGTTTCCTTTTCCCCTTTCTTTTGTGATCCCGGGAGCAACCCCTCAGGGGTGATTTCAGAGCGTTCCTCAGAGCTGTTTACTGGAAACTGAATCAACCTAAATAAACAGCTGTCTGCCTCCCGCCAGCCTGGGGATTATTTTCAGCCAGCACCAGAGAGGATACTCTTACCAACCATGACATAAATGCTCCAAAAAAAAGAAAAAAAAAAGAGAAAAAAAGAAAAAAAGAAGTCGTGGTGATGGCACTTGGTCAGTTTGGACAAATCAGTCACTGGAAGGAACGTGTAATGAGGCATTTGGGTCAGATCCTCACTCGTCTAGCGAAGGAGCAAAGCTAATTTGGTGTAGCCAGAACAAATACCCGCTTCACTCTATTTTTAAATGAAGCTGCTCAGACAGATTTGAGCTGCACCTCGTGTTTTAGATAAAAATAAAAAGCGAAAACGTTAGCACACACCCAAACACATCATCAAACTCAACCCTCCAGCCTCTGAGCAGGGCGAGGCGAGGGGCCAGGACACATCACACCGGCATGCACGGCCCTTCCTCCCCGCGCCTGCTGGCTTCAGCTCAGCCAAACAAGCAGCCAGGGTGAGAGAGGCAGCTGGGTCCTCCCCAAACAGCTCCTTTTCATGCTCAAAAACAGGAATATTCTCCTTCCTCTGCCCACAGGTGGCTGCACCATCCATAAGTTGGTCGCAAGCCCGAGGGGCCAGGACACATCACACCGGCATGCACGGCCCTTCCTCCCCGCGCCTGCTGGCTTCAGCTCAGCCAAACAAGCAGCCAGGGTGAGAGAGGCAGCTGGGTCCTCCCCAAACAGCTCCTTTTCATGCTCAAAAACAGGAATATTCTCCTTCCTCTGCCCACAGGTGGCTGCACCATCCATAAGTTGGTCGCAAGCCCAAGCCTTAGACCCACCAAACACTACCTGGAGGACGTCTCGTACCTTGGAGACTCCACGGACATTTCCAAGTCGCTGTTTGCACAGAAATCCCACAGCACATTTTTTTCTTTGTCTACAAATCCCCCTCCAAAAAAAAAACAAAAAACCCAAAGTCTGTGGGGATCAGTGCGTGTCCCCCCGCCCCAAATCCAAGGCCACAGGCTCTGCAAAAAATAAAATGGGAATAGCAGCGAGATTTCTTTTC